TATCTTTATTTGTGCATCTTTGAAGTAGGCCTACATGATTGCTAGTTAATAAGCGGGGATGTTGTGTTTATCTAGGATGCGCTTCAACGACATATTTGTAATGTGCATCTTTTCCTTATTTTTTGTTAATCATTAAATGTATATTGATAAGAAATGTGATTTGAAAAATTGAAATCGCATCTATAGGCTAATTTAATTAAGTGATGTTCTACAGTGTTGTACTCTTTTGTATTTTCTACATTTCTTTGTGGAAACCACACACACACACACACACACACACACACACGCTCTTTTAAAACAGCATCCCAAGCTTGTAACGCACATGATATCAGTCACAGCATATCCTCTATGACTACTAAATAAATGCTTTGGATAAAAGCGTCTGCTAAATGACTAAATAAATAAAAATAAATAAAAATGACAAATTCTATATAATTTTATTTCAAATAAAAGGAAAATAAAGTGAGTTGAATCTAAGCAGCTCTAAAAGATTTTAGAATAGTTCTCTATATCCTTTTGAAGGCGCTCCGCCTGTGTTTGCGGTGTTGCTTTATGAATTAATTAGATGTCAGTAATGAACAATACTGCACAAATTATAGCGATCATGAAGAATGTCCTTATTCTGTCCCAAACGTGTACAGTAAAATGGATATACAGTATGCAACACCCCATCAGTTATATTCAGGTCTATAGTGCCACCTGTTGATAACGAGAAAACAACTTTCATTATGTCGATATAACGAGATAATTAAGTTGTGATCACGAGAAAACAACTTTTGTTATGTCGAGATCACGAGATAATTAAGTCGTTATCACGACAAAACAAGAAAGAAAAAAATTTAATAATCCATGGCCTCTTAGGACTTCCGTACTAAAGAGTTTTCAGCCAGGTGAAAAAATGTCAGACGCTCTTCTTAAAACGAGCAGCTGGTGGCGCTTGAAAACGCTTTGGTGGCACAGCGTTTTTTTCCAGCTGATACGCTTTAGTTGCTATGATTTTGAATTTCCACGGCGGCAACGTATTAGCCTACTAGTATCTCATTTTAAAAAAGTGTACTAAATATAAAAAAGCAGTAGGCTAACCAGTAATATTGACTTCTCCATTGTTGTAGGCATTGTACAAGTAGGATGGTTGGTCGCTATTTGTCCCACCCGTCCGCGGCTGGGTAAATAGTGACAAGTGACGAGCGCTGCATGCGTTTTACAGTTATCAACTCAGCTGCAAAATAAATAAATAAAGGAAAAATTAAAAAAGAGAGCAAGGGCAAATGAACTTGTAATTATTATGGCAGTGCATCAAAATTCAGTGTCATCAGTTTGCCAAAAAGAACACAGAACGTTTTACGCACCATTTACACGTGGTAGGGAGCAGGTGTACATTTCTTTCGTACCAACTAACATTTTGAAAATACGAACATTTTCATGAATTTGAAAGTTTACGTCAGAACGGCTTTACGAACGATTTACACAAAAATTCGTTCTGCTCGTGTTTCATGAATGAGGCCCATTGTTTGTGTAAATTATATTGTTTGATAATACACCATACTGTTCAAAAGCTTTTTTTTTTGTTTTGTTAAGAAATTAATACTTTTATTTAGCAATGTTGCATTAAATTGATCAAAAGTGACAGTAAAGACATGTTACAAAGGATTTCTATTTCAAATAAATGAAATTCCACCTTTATTTGACCCTCTAACTCTAGCACTTTCTTATTCTATTTTAATTCTACTTTATCTATATTTATCTTTTTTTATTTAAAAATGTGTATGTGTATGTATATATATATGTATGTGTATGTATATATATATATATATGTGTGTGTATGTATGTATATATGTATACATGTGTATATATATATATATATATATACACCTTGCTACATGTACTGCGTTAGGCTAACCGAGACTTGTCATTTGCACTTATATATTGTTGCTCTTTTGTTAGTTTTGACTGCTTTTATTGTCCTCATTTGTAAGTCGCTTTGGATAAAAGCGTCTGCTAAATGACTAAAATAAATAAATGCTCTTCTTTCTATTCATCAAAGAATTCTAAAAAGTACCAGTTTCCACAAAACTATTAAGCAAAAAATAAAATAAAATTACATTTATTTTTTTTAATTATGTAAATAAAGTTATTTTAAATTCTAATAATATTTTACAATAATACTGCTTTTAATTATTTATTTTTGAACTTCTTGCCTAACTGTCAATACATTAGATATTGTTGATATTGTCATCATACAAGGACAGATCTGGCAACAGAAGAATGAATTTAGTGACGCAAGAAAGGAATGAAACAAACACAAATCCCATTCGAAGAGTCACAGTAAGAATATGTATTTATTTAATTCAGTCAGCAAGAAAGAGAGAGTAAGATAAAGAGAGTGCTTTGGGAAGAAAAAAGTAGATGGTTATCTGGAAATTTCACAATACACCTTTAGCAGTAGACAATATTTCATTTAAATACATAAATTAGACAGACAACATTAATCCGTCGGATTCTAACCACAGATTCCGTGTTAATTTAAAATCACTCTTGCATACATTTTTCATACAAAGGTTCTTTGAAATGCTGACAGAGCTAGAAATGCTGACAAAATCCTGGAAATCTCTTTTTCCAAAAAGGCACATTTCTGAGCATTAAATACAATAAAGGATTATTTCTGTACAAAACAAAAAAGGTCTGTGAGCACACAATTAGTGTAGAGGATCATAATAAAAGTAAAAAAAAGATGCAAGCTTCAAGGTGCAAAAGAGCAACCGGACAAAATTAAAACTGAGGTTATTGTAAAAGCAACATTGAAATGATATCCCCCCCAAAAAATCTATAAAAATAAGACAAGTTCCCTCGGAATTGTCTCCAGTATTGTATTGCAAGGTTTTCCATTGGAAAAATCCTATTGAATGTCATCACTTATTCAACATATTGGCTAATGATTGAAAATGTCAAAGGACACAGGCAGTGATGCAGGCCTGGCAACATTTGTAGATACAGTGTGTCTATCATCCCTGAGACTCCCAGTTTTAGACTAGGAACCAATGACATCTGTGAAGGTGAGCTAAATGATCAACCTGCTATTTATTTTGGCAGCTTTGCCAGACCACACCTGATCCTGTAGAGACGTTTCTGATGATGTCCAGGCTCAATACATTTCTTTATCATTAGCATATTGGAAAATGAACTAGATGAACTTGAACTAGATACTTGGCACTAGCAAACAAAAAAGTCTAGAAAACGATCAGGTTTAAAAGGCATAATACTGTGACTGCGGGTATCAAGTCCAGTTTTGTCACAATATTTACAAGTATTTTTGGTCAGGAGTTAAGACCGATACTACACTCAGCACACAATTATCAGATGCCGTTTTCATTTATAAATGCACAGATCTCACATCACAGGCTCACAAATTAGTCTCATCCCAGGATGGGTCGTTCATACTCTTTAACACTTTCCTGACAATCTTCTCCAGCTCTTTCCGTGCCTTTTGTTCTTCTTCAAGAGTGCGCTTCATTCTCTTGTTGTCCTGGTGATGTAAAATCAGTGAATCCGGGTCACGGCACCAGATTTTGACTTTCAACATGGCATCACGTTAAGCATAAACAAATGTTTGTACATGGCATGTGGACTGACCTGCTTAAGTTCTTGAACCTCATCTCTTAAGGCATAAACTGTATCCACCAGACTCCTGTAAAGACATCCATATAAAATCATCATCGTGAACAACTATTGAGATGTTACACGTTTTTAATTCGCAATATTATTATAGGGTTAATCATGATAAATGAATGTTTAAACTGACAGCCCTAATAACAAAAATAGTAAATAAATAGGATTGGATGCATAAATCTGAGAGCTAACCTTTCTTCAATTACGGTTTGACCATTGCTCTTTGTCTCTTCCACAATGATTTTCTCCTCTTCAGGAAAAAGCATATGTGGCCCTGACTCCTTCCTTGATCCTGAAAAAAGTTTAACAATACTAACAGATTAAAAACTGAACTGTAACATGTTACCAGTACCAGTGTGATTTCAGTATAATTGAGATACTATTATAGTTTTTATTTAAAAAAAAAAAAAATTTTTTTTTTCATTTTCATGTGAATTTGGGTTAGTTTTAGTAATTTTGCTATGTGTTTTTGTCATTTTTAGTTTTTTTTTTTTTTTTAAATGTCTATATTGTGTGTTATGCATGAAGTCTAGAAAACGATCAGGTTTAAAAGGCATAATACTGTGACTGCGGGTATCAAGTCCAGTTTTGTCACAATATTTACAAGTATTTTTGGTCAGGAGTTAAGACCGATACTACACTCAGCACACAATTATCAGATGCCGTTTTCATTTATAAATGCACAGATCTCACATCACAGGCTCACAAATTAGTCTCATCCCAGGATGGGTCGTTCATACTCTTTAACACTTTCCTGACAATCTTCTCCAGCTCTTTCCGTGCCTTTTGTTCTTCTTCAAGAGTGCGCTTCATTCTCTTGTTGTCCTGGTGATGTAAAATCAGTGAATCCGGGTCACGGCACCAGATTTTGACTTTCAACATGGCATCACGTTAAGCATAAACAAATGTTTGTACATGGCATGTGGACTGACCTGCTTAAGTTCTTGAACCTCATCTCTTAAGGCATAAACTGTATCCACCAGACTCCTGTAAAGACATCCATATAAAATCATCATCGTGAACAACTATTGAGATGTTACACGTTTTTAATTCGCAATATTATTATAGGGTTAATCATGATAAATGAATGTTTAAACTGACAGCCCTAATAACAAAAATAGTAAATAAATAGGATTGGATGCATAAATCTGAGAGCTAACCTTTCTTCAATTACGGTTTGACCATTGCTCTTTGTCTCTTCCACAATGATTTTCTCCTCTTCAGGAAAAAGCATATGTGGCCCTGACTCCTTCCTTGATCCTGAAAAAAGTTTAACAATACTAACAGATTAAAAACTGAACTGTAACATGTTACCAGTACCAGTGTGATTTCAGTATAATTGAGATACTATTATAGTTTTTATTTTTAAAAAAATATATTTTTTTTCATTTTCATGTGAATTTGGGTTAGTTTTAGTAATTTTGCTATGTGTTTGTCATTTTTAGTTTTTTTTTTTTTTTTTAATGTCTATAATAGTTTTTATTTTTATTTCAGTTAGGTTAACTATAATAATCCTGAATTGTACAGAAACTGAATTTTAGGATGGGGTACTATTAAATGTGAACGCTTCTGTCCTATGAAAGCCATGGAGAAAAAGCAATAAAACTATCTTTCCTGCTCGTTCATGTCCTTCCATGTCTTCAATATGTTCCCAACCTTACATATTAACTTCAAAGCTTATATCCAAACACTCAAAAAGAGCTTGCCACTTTCAATGTAAACAAAATAAAACAAAGAAGGTGTTTTAGTTTTGATGTGTATATACGAGCAGCAGCTCTTACGGGACATAGAACCCATTCTGTTAGTGTGAGTTATCCATATACTGTCATAGTCCGAGTCTTCAGAATGATCAGAGGGAAATCCGCTGCTACGGCAACCCACAGCATCCACACACGATTGGTCAACATCAGCCAGCACATGATTATGCATCAAATCAGTACCCTGCCATGCTAATTAGGGATGGGGATCAAACCAATCATATCGGAGAGGACAGGTGGATTGAGAGGATGGACCAAACCAAGAGGAGTAAAGTGAGGGAGAACCCAAGACGCCCAAAAAATTATATGTATATAAATGTCAAAATGAAATAAAAAAATATAGGGAAAAAAAGCAATAACAATGGCAGGACAACATAAGAGAGAAATGAGTGAAAAAGAAATGAATGAAGGAAGGAAGGAAGGAAGAAGAAAAGAGACAAATATGCATGTTAAAAAGAGCAGAAAATATTAAAAGCGTGATCAACGCAGTGGTAAAGAGTTTCGTTAACTCATATTTGTATAGCCAATGCCATAATGCAGTAAAGATGCTGCAGTACTTCACAGACATATGTAAAAATGTTTGAGAGACTTCAGGACCGATGAAGGCGTTTTGTTGGACTCAAAATGTGGGCCTCCTAGGCCAAATACACTAAAGTTTAGGGTCAGTATGTTTTTGAAAGAAGTCTCTTTTGTTCACAAAGGCTGCATTTATTTGATCAAATACAGTAAAAGCTGCAATATTGTGAAATATTACAATTTAAAATAACTTCCCTATTTTAATATATTGAAAAATTTAATTTATTCCTGTGATGACAAAGCGGAGTTTTCAGCATCATTACTCCAGTCTTCAGTAGTGCTGTGTTCAAAATATCGATACGACGATGTATCGTCACAGAGATTTGACGATACAAGTATCGATACAGCTGGCCCTGTATCGATATCGTGGCACGTGTGCAGCAGTGGACCGCGCTTAATTTGTTTAAAATTTTACAACGTTTAAAATGGAGTAGAAAAGTGCGAGGTTTCTAAAAAAGAATGAATAGAGCATATATAGGCTACAACAAGGTTTAATCTGGCCGCAGAGGAACACAACTGGGATGCCTGATATATAGAGACGTAATCTCCAAAACAGAGCTTCACACTTGCGCAATACGGAAATATCTGCTAAGTGTGCTATGTATCTTTGTTAACCTGGCAACCATATGCACGCGCTCTCTCTCCACTGTGGATAAACGCGCTTGCTTTCTGAAAACACCGCTTAGCTTGCAGTTTAGCGATCTCCACAATATTCTATTCTCAGAAAAGTGTAATTCATCAACTGTTAATTTACGACAAGGAGAGAGAGAGAGAGAGAGAGAGGCTGTGTATGTATGAATTACCACCGTTTTGCCGCGTTTCTCTATTAACAGTAAAGCTGTGGCTTTAATTCCTTTAGAAACAATGATGCTACCAGCTCCTTGTTGAAAAAGATAATGTAGCTCTTGAGCGATTAAGCTATTTAGTTGATAAAACTGCGGGGCAGCGCTAAAAAGTTTGTCCCTGAATGTCTGAGTGCGGCCGCAGCGT